AAAAAAATGAAAAAAAAAAAAAAAAAAAAAAAAAAAAGGAAAAGCGTCTAATAAGGGGCATCGCCTTTCCCTGCGCTAGCTTTCGTCACAGGTGCGGTCCCACGTTGAGCCTCAATTACCGCTTCCACTTTTTGCTACAAAAACAACAACAACAAGAACAAAAAAAACAATCAACCGGTACACATGTTTGTTGGCTGTCGCACAGTGTGCGTGATTCCTCTAGGCATCACACAGGCGCGTGTAACCAGCCCTCTGCCTATGCATGTATATACACACAATACGTGCGTGGTTCCTTCTCCTCGCTCCCTCTCCGTGACGCTCGCTCTTCTGCATGTTCCTGTTTACGCATTAAACCTGGTATTTGGACTTGGGTCTTCCACGGCGTCCCTTCTGCTTCCCCCCGGACCCTCGCACCGCGCTGATAAGTTGCCCGCTAAGGTCCGCCTCCACCGCGTCGCCCTTCTTCGTCTTGCTGCTCTTAAGCTCCGGAAGCAGCCCAACACGGATCATCTTCGCAAAGGGCAGGTTCGCAACGGCCGCTAACTTGTACCGCCGGAAGCGGAAGCGTTTGATAATTCGGTGCTTTTTCATTCTGAATCGCCGCGCCAGCCAACGCGAGGAGGGGTACGGGTAGTTACGCGGACCAAACGTCACACGACCGTAAAACTTCGCCGCCCAACGCGCGCTGAGTTCCTCCAACTGCTCGCCGTAGCCGGCGGCGGCTTCCACCTGCCACCCCTCCGCCGCCTCTTCTTCGGCAGGCTCCGTGGTGCTGCTAGAATGAAACCGCAGCGGCCGCTGCGAGATGTCGGCGCTGGCAACAATACGGTGGCGGAAGAACTTGGCGGTATGCTTCTCGTTGAACGAGGAACAGACGGGCTTACGATCAATAAAACTCCCTCGCATCGGCGGGGGCGGCGGAATGATCGTCAGCGTCGCGGTACTCTCTAGCGGCAGCAGTGACAAGGCGGGTAGCAGGGACCCGTGATACGCTTCGGGCCGCAGCGGTGGAAACGAGAGTTTTCGCATCGACGACGCCGGCGAACAGGTGGCGGGGGCGACCATTGCTGCCGCTCTATACCGCACACAGAGAATACTACAGCCCCGCATGCCTCTTACAATAAGAAACGCAAGGACGCGGGATATATATATATATATATATATATTCTATAAACGACGGAAAACAACGACAAAAGTAAAGACAAGGTAGCATCACACAACAAATCACTGTATTCAAGAAACGGGGCTGGGGTTGGGGGGAAGAGGGTCCTGTTACATCCGCAGCATACACCCCACCCCTACCCACTTGTATCCTTTTTTGTTTTTTTTTGTCACTCTTCTCATTCGCCCCGTCAGCCAGCTCAGCCACTTGTTGCTTCGCTGCATTGGTAACGAGGCAGCAATAACGACTGCGCGTCCGACGCGTGTTGGTGTTTATTTGTAAAAGAGCGGGACGGAGCGGTAGAATCCCACACATAGATGCACATACATTTCCTCCCTTGTATGCATACATGCATGTGTGCAGATAGACGGACCCACGCACATGTCCGTCGTGACGCCGCTCACGGGGGTCACAAACTGCCGGAGGGGCACCATCGCCGCCCTTCATCCACGCGTATATTACAACACAATTAAACGGAAGAAGGGGGAGGGAGGGGGGGAAATAATAATAATAAAAAAAAACAATAAAACAACGGTGTGCCCCCAACGCCCATCAGGAGCTCATCCCTTCATTACTTCCTCCTGCCTCCGTTTTTCTTTGTTTCTTCTTCGTTCGCCGTGCCTCCCACCGCCAGCTGCGCTGCGTGAAAGGAATTTCACAAAGACGACAACGCCACCAAAAGAGAGAAAAAAAAAGAAAAAGAAAGGGGCGGACTTGGAAAACCGTGAAGGCGGCAGCCGCACAACACTCACGCACAGAAATAAAAGGGGAGCGGAAGGCAAAACCCAAAAAGAAGAATAAACAAAAAAAAAAACAACGATGACAGACAAACACCGCCGCCACCAATCAAAAAGAAGAAAGCAAGTCGTGGTGGGGGGACGACAACTGAGGTGCAGCGGGACACGTATAGACGAGTGGAATATGCTGGAGAGAGAGAGAGAGAGAGAGAGAGAGAGAGAGAGAGTGGAGGGTGGAAGTTCTTTTCGTTCCACACCTCCCTCACACTCTTCAAACACGGACACAGACAGACACATAAATAATAGTCCACATTTTCTCAAGGCCGTCCTTTTGTATTCTCTCCGCCTCTGCCCCTTCTCTCCCTCCCCAGACCTCACCACAATAATTCATTCAAGCCGCCATTGTTTCGCTTGAAAGCTTTGCCCATATCTCTCTCTCTTTTTTCTTGTTTTGGTTTTCCTTTCCTCCTCCTTGTCCACCCCCACCCCCATTCTTCCGCGTGTCTCTCTACACTCTTTCTTTAAATAACGCAAAGGAGACATAAAAGGCAGAATAATGCAAGAAACGCCTGCGCCCACCACGCCCGACGCTCCGCCTCTGCCTTCCCTTGCACCACCCTTCTTGCCGAGATCTTCACCTCTTCCTTGGATGCTGACTGCTGCGCTGCGACCTCATTTCCTGCCAGCTGATGCGCCTTCGTTGCAATGACCTTTGGTGACGCGGCGCTCCAGTTCACCTGCGGAAACCTCTTCTCAAGAACATGAAGAATCGGATCCACCAGCGGCTGCACTTGGTGCGCCAGCCACGCAAAAGCGGACACGCAGAGACCGAAGAGAAGCTTCGGGACATGCAGCACATGGCTCTCAAGGTTCTTTAGCCCCTCCCGCGCCGGCGGGTTCAGCCATCCTCGGAACAGCAGGTAGGCCTGCACAATGATAGAGATGGCAACCCCCCAAACGTAAAAGTACAGCGTCTTGTACAAGGCGGTGGCCAAGCGGCTCAGGCGTAGATGGCGCTGGGCGAAACCCGGTGAGGTACATTTGATGATAATGGCATCACGAAATTGTTGCTCGTCGTACTCATGCGTCCCCGTCATCCTTTTCGCGCCCTCCCCGGCATTATTCGCGATGCGGTCATTCGTGCTGGTGTCGTTATTCGCGCTAGAGACAGTGGCAGCCTCCGCGGCAAGCGCCGCCGCGCGCCGCGCAATCGCTTCTTCCCTCTGCTTCTGCCAAACATTCCGCTCCTCTGCGATGAAGGCCTGCAGCTTCGTGCTCGCCCGCAGGTGCAGCGGGTAGCCGTCCTCCAGCACGTTCACGGCAGAGGTGTCGTTTGTCAGGTAACTCGCGTTCGTCGCGCCGAGGGTGACGGCGGCCCACCCGCCCCACGTCTTCTTTCGATACGCGGGGAAGAGGATGACGTTGTCGGCGTAGTCAAGGCCCAGAAAGCGCCGACCTATGCGGTACCGCGTGAGGCTCCAGAAGTGACTTTCCACAACGCCTTGCATACTACTGCGTCCCCACCAAAACATGGAACGAGTCATTTGCCGCAGCTTGAGTGGGATGCAAACAAACTCCGCCGCCTTTCTCCCACTCAAGCAGTGCCAGGCAATAACCGCCCCCGCAACACGTTAAGCCCTCTGTAATGGCAGGACCGCAGCGACGGCAACGGAGACACTACAAAACTAACGTCGGCAACAGGGACAACCGCAACCACTCGCGCTGAGAAGGGAAGCCTGGGGAGCAGGGATGCGTCAATACAAATATATGAGTGGGCTGCTGCGCTTCTGCTTCTTCTGCCGGACCCCTTTTTGTTTCGGCTGTTTGACGCTCCTTCCCGTGGTTTTGTTTTGTGAGGAAAACACCGGCCCCCCTTCTTTTTTTTCTTCTTCTTTCCTTTGTTTTTTTTTGTTCTTCTTCTTTTCCTTTTTAAAATGCCCCTTTAGTTTTGGTTTTACCCTTATTTCGTTTGGCTGCAATTCGGGTTTGAGGATAGGCTCAAGCTGAGGGGTACAGCGGCGGCAAAGCACCAAATCAATTTTTCTCCCCCCCCCCCCCCCCCCCCAAAGAGAAATAGAAAGAGAAAGAGAGAGCAAGCGCCTTTCGCTTCTTCACAGGTGCGCCACCGACACGTACAAAACACCCGACGACCAACAAGAAGGATAAAATAATTAACTGCATGCACTTCTTGTTTGTAGCGCCTCTTTACGTTTGACCTTTTTTTTTTTATTGGTTCGCACCGTTAACCGCTTACGTAGCACGCCGCCCCATTCTGCATTGCATGTACGCACTCTGCAAGAGGGACCGCATGGACTCCACCGCAGGCGTCTTGAACAAGGTAATCTCTTACAGTCTCGCCTGCTTCCCCTCCTCACTTACAGCCATACACCCGCGTACGTGTGTGGTGCGTCCTCCCTTCTTTTTTTATTATTATTGCATGTGTGTTTTGTGGTTTGTTTATGTTTGTAAAAACTAAAAAAAACTTTTTTTTTTTTTTGTCCTCGTTCTTCTACTACTCCACCTCTTCTCTCCAATAAACACACCTGCATGCATGCATGCGCTTCAATGCCGTGGCGTGAGACTTAGTGATCTGTCCTTACTCGCTTGTGTCGCCGCTCCTCGAGCTGCTCCTCCTCTCCTTGCGCCTGCAGCAGCTCCGCCATGTCCTCGCCCATGCCATCCTCCGCCTCATCCTCATCGTCGCCGTATTCCTCGTCATCGTCGGCGTCCATCATGTCGGCGTCGGAAACGCCGCTACTGCTGCTGCTGCTGTCGTCGTCTTCCTCGTCGTCGCTGTCGCTGTCGCCGTCTGCCGCGGAGTGTACGTCGTCGTCGCTTGCCGTGTCAAACTCCGCCTCGCTGCTGCGAGTGGAGGCGTCGATGCCGTAGGAGGAGCCGCGATCCACCTCAGCAATCATCTCCGCCTGCTTCTCGCGTGCGCGCCGACCCGGAGTCGCCTCCGCCTCTTCGCTGGTGTCCTCGTCCAGGTTCATCTGAGCCAGCGCGTCCATGTCGAGGTCCTCCTCATCCGCGTCGTCGTCGGCGCCCGCGTGCATCTTGTTTGCTGCCGCTGCCTCCTCCTCCTCGACAGCGGCCAGGCGCTGCGCCTTGCGAAGCAGCGCCATGGCACCACGCTTTTTGTTCTTGCTAGAGTGGGGGTCGCGTTTACTCCTCACCCGCAGCGCTCGATACTCTCCGCCGGCGCAGCGAATCTCCGTGAACATCGCTGGGAAAATAATGCCGGCGTCTGAATTTGCAAATGCGCCCCTCTCCGATGGACGGACGGACTTGAAGATGGAGAGCCGACCGTACATCGCCGCCAGGGGGTCGTAGAGAGCGGTCATGTTCCTATACTGGTGCAACAGGGGCGCAACAAAGTCCTTTGGTGGTGAGGGCTTTGCCTTGGAGGTTGCAGCCTCGGAGGCTGTCGTCGGTGGCGGCGTCCCATCCACGCCGTTGTTGCTACTGCCAAGAGGTGCGCTTTGCTTCTCCGTCTGTTGTTGTTGTTGTTGTTGTTGTTTGAATAGCTGCTGCGTCTGGTACATCTCAACGCCGCGGTATTGCACAATGGCGTCTATCCAGCCAAACAGGGGAGAGCGAGAGTTTGCCCCACGCACGCGTTGCGCAAGAATCTGCAGCAGCTGCAGACAGTACGGCAGCTGGAGCCCCATCACCGTTGCTCGGATGTCCGCTGCAGACCGTGAAGCAACGGTGAGAAGCTCCATCACAGCCGACGCGTCACAGGCGTGAAGCGCCTGATATAGAGGAACTGTCGCGAGCCCCAGAGCATGTTGTTGTTGTTGTTGCTGCTGCTGCGACGATGCTGTTGATGCAAGTGACATTTGCTTCAGCCGCTGCTCCAGCGTCAGACTCTTTTGCGGGATGTCCTTCACACTCTTTGCGTGAAACGACACGGGTGAAACAAAGCCCTCCGAGGGCGTGTGGGTGGCACGGGCGGCGAGGCGTTGCTGCTGTAGCAGCTGCTGACGGCAGTGTGTGACCCAGGCGTGGTCGATCACCTCCATGTCGGCGTGCACGGCGTCAATCCCTCCGCCCTTCCCTGCCTGCGACCCTGCTGGCATCTCATAGACGGCACCATCCTCCACCAGCACGGATACGGCAGCAGCTGTGGAAGACGTGGTGGACGCCTTCCGCATGGCCTCGCGTAGGTCCACCACCTCAAAGTGGGGCATCGCAAAGCGGCCACGCAAAACCAGCAGCGGTGGAGGCGTTCCCGCCTCACTCTGCATGAAAGCACCAAAGAGCAGTCGTGCGGAGATCTCCTTTGAGACAATACGGAGCGTCGGCGGCGTCAGAACCGGATCCGCTAGAGACGTCAACAGCGTGTTACCAAGATTCCACACAAGTACCGCACCGGTTAAGGTGGTGGCGACCACAAAGGCCTCACCACTGTCGACGCCGTTACGGTGGCTGTCCATGCTGTTATGTGTGGTGTCAGGGTCGTGTACGGAGACGTCCAAAATGCGTTGCCCACAGAGGAGACTGCGGCGGCAGCGCGCCGACGTTGTTTGACTGCTGACGGTTGAACTTGCGTCCCACACCCGCACAACACCCTCCTGGGCGCTGGCGGTCACAACCACCGGGTGCTTCCGGTTGCCGCCCATCCACGCAAAGTCGGAGCGGGAGGCCTGCGACGCAAAACACACCAGCCGCTCCATCGTCGCCCCCGTGTTTTGGGCGTCGCCGCTACTACTGAGGCGAAGCGTGTACACCGCGTTGGTGGGTCCCGATACAAAAACGAGGAAGACAGACCCCTTCGCATGTGAGCCGTGCTGCGTGTCCTGCGCTGCGCCCTCCATGACGGCGATGGCGCCGACGTCGTGCTGCACCCGCAGGTGGGACGCCACACTCTCACCACGCAGGCAGTCGATGGCGCAAAGCGAGCGGTTTGTCGCAACGCAAAATAAATACTGACCGCAAAACACGGCCGCCGTAATCGCCTGCTGCGTGTCCGATACGGCGAGATGCTGCGCAACTTCGTCCCTCGCCACATTCTGCAGCAGCATCGTACCATTGCTCAGCCCCACCGCCGCGTAGCAGACGCCGGCGACGCCCACCACATTTGTCGCCTCCTCCTCCACCTTCTCTTCCGCGGACTGTGGCGTGGCAATGGTACCCAGCGCCAGCGCCGTCAACGACACCACCGCAAGAGACGTGCGACTCCGCGGCGGCATCTCCACCACCGCCGCGAGCGACCCCGTGGCCACGTCAAACACCCTCGCGCTGGGGAAATCCATGCCAACGGCAAAGTAGCGCCCTGCCAGCGCGTGGCGGATCATGAGAGAACGCTCCGTCATAAGTTTGCCACGTTGCGTGAGTTCCGCGTGTGTTTTCCTCCTTCTCTATCGTCCCTTAGCTGTTACGACCCCGTAGAGAAGTGCTCTTCCTTGCTGTTCCCCACAGACGAAAAATGGGTTTTTTTTTTCCTTCTTCTTTCTACCCTGTCCACGTTTACCTGCACCACCACCAAAGACTGCCTTTGTTTCTCACAGTGTAGCGACGTCGTTACCTCCCCCGTTTCTTCTCGCAACGTTTCGTTGACCCAATAAATACAAACAACAACAACAAAGAGAAAGAGAAATAAAGAAAGAAATAAAGAAAGAGAGCGCGCACACACACACATGTACGCAGTGAGAGCGACGACGCTCCCTCCACATGCAGAGGCAGAACGTGGCACGGCGTGCAGCGTTCCCCGGTTGAACGCCGACCCCTTCCCCCCGCCAGTGCACTCCACTCACGCTCCTCCGCTAATTACGCGGCAACGAGAACCCACGTTTTTTTTTCTCTTGTTTTTCTTTTCCGTTTTGCTTTAAACGCCTCCGTCGTGTTACTTGTTTGCAGGTCCCTCTCTCACAGCAGGAGGCCAAACTCACGCAGCATGACAACAGCGGGGTTTGTAAAGTTCATCTCGTACCAATAATTCACCGCCGCAATCAACGGCAAAGGGGGATTCTGCGCGGCCTCCTCGCCGCGGGCTGGGTGATTTTCCCTCGCACGACGGTCGACGACATCGGCGTGCTGCGCCACGCGGTGCAGCCACATGGCTGGAAGATAAAGCACCTCCCCTGGCTGCACGTAAGCCACGAGTGGATGCAGCCGACCCCGCAGGTTGGGTGGCAGGAGCACCGCATCTTCCACGGCGGCCGGTGTAAACTCCACATCCATCCATGGCAGCTTCAAGCCATCCCGCACAGGCGCCGCCGCAAAGCTGTAGCCACGCTCTTCGTCTTCTCGTTGAACTGCAAACGCCGCGGAGGGCAGCTCCGGCTTTGGCACAAACATGCCCTCCCACGGCGGGATGAGGATAAACTCCTTCACCCCACGCACCACCGCGTACAGGTTCTCTACCCAATCCTGGTGCATGGACGAGACAGAGGCGGGGGTTCCAAACCACACATTTGCCGCCTCGTGCGGGCCACCAAATACGCGCTCCCCAAAACGGTCGAGCTCCACACGGATGTCATCGTGGAGGTGCTGGTACTCTACCTCTAGGCAGTTGTTTTGCATCTGCGCGTAGGCAACGACTGGTGCGGGTCGGCGTAGGTCAACAAAGACGGGTCGCGCCGGCGGATGAGCCGGGTTCGCGCAGAGAAGCTGATACAACTCTGGTAACGTCGCACGAATCTCTGCGGCAGACATAAATAATTTTTCCGTCACCACCGCCTCCTCCGCGGTACTCGCCTCTTCCCCATCCTCCTTTGTTTTTGTGCCTTGGTACGTCACATACGTCACCGCATCGGCGCGCCCATTCGGCGTCAAAGCAACCGTCACTCGCCTCAAGCCGTCCTCCTCCTCATCCGCATGCGGCTGGGTGCTGTCATCGGACAAGTCATGCTCTTCGTCCTTCAACGGGCTGTCCACTACGGCCGTGGCCGCCGTAGTTCCATTGGAGAGGGCAGCCACTTCCTCCGTGCCCCGCCGCACGCTCTCGAAATGCCCATCCAAGTCGAAGAGGTACGTATCATCACGCCAGCGCTGCATGGCGGGCCAGTCCTCCAGCGCCCCCACAATCACGCACGGCCGTGACTGGAAGACAAATTCCCTCATAAAGGCCTGTTCCGTGAGCGTGCGAACGCCCTCATCCTCCTCTGCTTCCCTCTCCGGGCCGCGGGACCCGCTTCTGCGACCGCAGCTGAGCCCTTCCACACGTATCCGCTCAATGCTGAACTGCTCCAGGGCTCTTGCGGTATTTGTAAAGGCCTCTGCGACAGTTGTGGGTCGCGGCCCCGCAGCGGCATCAGCCATTCTGCCTGCTTCCCCCTCCCTTCTGCACTCGCGGCCTCTCCTCCACAGACACACACAACAAAATAATAAAAAGGCGAAGAGCAGGTAGCGGAAAGGCACGCAGCGGCCCCGTTGCATACACGCAGGCACGGCGTGTATGCAGTGAGAAAAAAGAAACAGCAAATTGGCGGACAGAAGACACGCAGGTGCCTCGTGGCTGACGGGGCACAAAAAAAAAAAAAAGGCGTGCGCCTTGTCGCAGACGGAAATGGCACATTAAAAATACACCCACATCAGTAAAACAACAGCACCAACAAAGACAAGGGAGGGGGAGGGGGAAGAGAGGAGGGGGAGGAGAAAGGGGCAATACACACCCCGAGGCAGAACCCAACACGCACAACAACAACAACAAGGCGCCTCTTATCCCTTCGCCAAACAGTAAAAAAAAAAAAAAAAAAAAAAAAGTAGAAAGACAAAAAAAAAGCTGACTGGAAGCATCACCACTACCACCGATATCAGGCAGCACGCAACAACCGCGTTTACTTCACACCTGAACACAGTGAGCGATTACAAACCCCCCTTTTTTTTTGTTTGTTTCCCCGTCCCTCGGCAGTGATGGTCAGCACGCCGTCACTGCACAGAGAGACGAGAGGAAAATAAAGCTGCACTCCCGCACTGACTCTCCCCCCACACCACGCTGAACACAGCGTGTCCTTCCTTTTGTCTCTCACTCACTTTTTCACTCCTTGCTTACTCCCTCCATGCATCCACCCCACTTTATACTGTTCTATGTGCCCACCACCGCTGCCACCACTTTCTCCTTTGGCAATTGCCAAGAATAGTGTGGAAAAACAAAAACAAAACCAAAACAAGCAAAGAAACAAAAACAAAAAAAACACTCCAAAAGAAAAGCATTCATCACACCAAAAATAAATAAATACAGCAGCGACAAAAAACTTGCCTTTTGAAGTGCTGTTTATTCCATAAACATTTTTTTTTTAAAAAAAACTTTGCGCTGTTGTCGTTTGCCAGTTTCCATCGCCTTCTTCCTACACTCCCTCTCGCGTACCGCATCAACCTTTCCACAGCAAACGTACGTATACAACCATACTTATGCATATCTCTCTGTCAACCTACCAGTTTCAACGCCTTGCGGGCGGTCAAACCCTGTATACATATAGACCGGTACATCCAGAAGATATATATATATATATATATAAAGCAACGGCACGCTGATAAATCATATAACGCAACACCAAAAATACAACAGCAATAAAAGCCACCAATCTTTCTTCTACAAAAAAGGTCTACTTTTTTTGTACTCTTTTCCTCACCCGCGTTCTGCAGCTCCCTGCCACATGCATTACTTCCGTATCTAAATACATTACCCACGTGGACCAACGGCAGTGGCTTTGCTGCATTCAATTGTGCCTGTGACGGGGTCAAATTCGAAGCTGACAGCACTCCCGTCACAAGTGACGCAGTACAAATTGGTTGAGTGATGATAATGAGAGTGACTGGGAAACACCTCGGAGGTGGTGGCGGTGTGGACACGCAAAAAGGCCTTTGTCATGTATTCCACCTGCCAGTACGCAGGCTGCTCCCACCACACCACGAGCGATTGAGCAATCTCGGTCATCATAGTATAATCTCGCTCTTGTGAGTTAGTAGTTGTCACCTCCTTCTCACGATTCGTTGCCCCCTCATTGTTGTCCCCCCTGTGCCCCCAGTAGAACCGGGCAGCCCGACCCGCACTCTCGACTATTGGTGCCAGCTGTAAAACATACCGACGAAAACTTTCACCATACTCCTGAGACTTGCTGAGCGAGGAGGCTGCATGCACCGAGGCGTTTTGCGACATTCCCTGAGAGTGCTGTGTATGGTTGAGCGAAGAGCACGAGGTAGAGCCCTCCAGTGTGGCATGGCCCCGGTGCGCATCATTTTCTGCAGCATCACCGTCTGTCATACGGCAATTAGAGCCTATGCCACGCAGAAGATGATGTCGCAGTTCCCCCGATGCTGTACTCACCCATCTGGGGAGAAATACACCGTCCGTCAGCGGCAGTGGAGACTCACAGGCTGCCCACTCAGAGTTAAAGTATGCGGAAACCACACCGAGGTGGTGCAGCGTGGAGTGACAGTTTTGTGCTCGACAGGCCTTGCTTGGATCCTTCGTACTAACGTCGTACGCCCTCGGCTTCTCCTGCTCGCCCACGAAGAAAACCTTAATGGTGTTCCACGCTATGCAGAAAAGAAAGTTTTCCCCAAGAAAACGCATTTGAAAGATGGGCGTTGGCAGCGATGCATTCCGTACCTCCCGAATTTTCACAAAATACCCGGGAAGATTACTGCCGCCACCCTGATCATCAATGACGCTCTTGGGCCCCGCTTCAGCAGGGTGCGACTGGGTGGACGCTGCCAGATGCGCCAAAGTGCGGGCCGCCGCTTCTCTTTCGCAGTATCTCCAAACACGTATAAGGGTCGCACGTTCACTGCAGGTGGCAATGTGCCACCGCACCGCTCCAGACGCGGCATTGCTGCTTCCGCCGCTCTTCAGCTCGCCGTTTAGGTCCATTGCAAGCGAGGTGAGCGCATGTTCGTGGGCCACCGGCACCGTAGCCAGAAACTCCGCGTTTACCCTGTTCGAGAGGGACGACTCCGCGTCGTAGCGCACTAGACTGAATCCCACCATGGAGCTGCGGAACGCGACGCACTTTTTACTGTAGTCGATGTCGAGTAACGCAACAAAGCGTGTAGTGGACGTGGTCGGCGCTGACGACGCCGCGGCAGCAGAGCCGCCAAGCTTCAGCTGTTGTAACTTTGCCGCAGGCAAAGGAGCGCTCGCGACAAACGGGGACGAGGTTGACGTCGCCGGGCCCGATTTGGGGCTCTGGTCCACCCACAGCGGCACAGTGAAGACGCACCTCCCCGTCTCAAAGCTGTGCAGACGCAGTTCCCTGGTGGTGAGAATTATGATGAGCCGATGATCCAGCCGCAGGTCCTCCACAGGGTCTGGCACACACACATTGCGGTCTGCCCAAATGTCACCCATGATAAATATTTTAACGACGTTTCTTGGCCCCACAGGGTACGGCCCACCACCGACAACGGCGACAAACCTCGTCTTATACAAAAGCGCCATCACACCTACACCGCTCTCCGTCGGCAACGGCACACCCCTTACCTGATCCATCCACCTTGCGAAATCCGCATCTGGGACTGCCGACGTCAACGTCGCGCGGCTTCCCTCAAACATTACACCCGCAGAACTAGCAGTGCCTCCCGGCGAGTCCTGCTGCTCTTCCCGCTTGTGCGGTTGCCATGCTTTCTCAGCCTCTAAGTGTCCCGATTCCACATCCTTTCCCCTACTCTCTGACCATTTGCTCGCGTGACACCGCGAGGACAAACTACGTGCAAGGACGTCAAGCAGGGGGTCGTTATCAACCTCGCCCTGGTGCTCGCAGGGACCTTCCTTCGTTTCACCCCCCCCTGCGGGAGAGGGAGAGGGTGAGGGTGGGGCGCGCTCTGGCACGTCCCACGATGTCGGTGTCGAGCACTGGCTCTCTCGCCTTGGAGGAAACATTGCCTCAATCGTTGTGTAAAAGGGCGGCCCCGAGCACAACGCCCCTTCCTCCCTTTCCGCAGCAGCGGGGGTGGCGCAGCGGTGAATGTGGTAGATGACGTATCCCTTATGATGGCCCACGCCGACGCGCGAGAAGTCCTGATTGAGGCAGAGGCAGAGTGGATGCAAGATCTCCTCTGCGTCATCCAGTAGGTCAAAGTCCATCACTGCCTGAGTGAAGGAACTGCCACCGGACAAAAGAAAACAAACCAAACAAAAGACGCAAACTACTCCCTGAGCAAGACTCAGACAAAAAAAAAGACGCGCACACAGAACAAAAGGTAAAGAGAGAGAGAGAGAGGAAACACACTAAAAGATCAACAAACGGGATGGGGCGGGGGAAGTAGGGAGATGCCTTTTTCCTTATCTTCCCTTTCCACCGCCTTGGAGATCTCTACTGTGCGTTAACTACTGACTGGGATGGAGGGAGGAGGAGCAAAGAGAGGCAAATGCCTTCCTCACAAAACAAATCCAAAACAAAAGCAAAAACACGTTCCTTCTGTCTGACAGCTGCAAGTAGAAAAGAAAGAGAAAAAGGCAAAGTGTGTGTGAGAGAGAGAGAAAGGAAAAAAAAAAGGTAATAATGAGAGATCAACGAGGGGATGATGCTCGCATGCATGCAAGTAATAATGATGTCAGGGAACCACGCGCCCCTCAACTCTGCTTTTTTTTTTGTGCTCCTTCCACCTTCGTTTGAATGCGGCGGGGCCCGCAGGTTGTCCCTGCTGCACCTCATAGTCGCGATGCCCTGCCACCTGCCACCACGTCTCTTCTCTGTGAACAAACCGCCCTCCCTTCTTCTCCCCCCTCCGTCACACATGTCAGCCGCACAAAAGGGAAAAGTCCTCCGCCGCTTTAAATAAATAAAACAAACAACGACGACAACTGCAACATAAACAAACAACAAAAAAAGAGTGACCAACAAGCATGCCGTGATCATCAAAACGGCCCCGGCTTACTTGTCGTAGAGGCGGAGTTGGCGGCCTGCTGCAGGTACGCCATTAACTCCGCATCGTCCCGCGACATGGCGACCCACGGGACCCCTTTGCGCACCATCTGCTCACCCAAGTACCAGAGGGCGTAGCACCGCCGACGACGCTGCGCCTCGCTCAACGTAACGTCCTGCAGGACGTTCTGGGCGGCGTAGCGAAGAATAACGCTCACGTCAGCTACCACGGCGTCAAACTCCACACTAAAGTACTCCATCATCACCTTCTGCTCAAACCACTCATAGTTGTTCTTGGCACGATCATCAATCTTCTCCCGAAACGCCGCGTACACACGGTCAAACCCAGAGAAAATGCTCTTGTACACAAGAAGCTTGGGAGCGTAGAAGGGGCGAATCCCCAGGAAACGTTGGCTGGAGACGACATAGGACTGCCCCACCGCATACATCAACTCTCGGCCAAAACAGGCCCCAGATAAGCGTTGCGTGAATCGCTCACAACGTTCCTCAAAATCATGCAAGAAACAGTTGTCCTCATTGCTTCCAGGAATTAATATGAACGGGGAATCCGCCGCCGCATTTGATGCGGTGCGCTGCGAGGATGGGTATGTCTTTAGCTTCGGCAGAGTGCCGCCTAGCTCACTCATCATGCTGTGCAGTACCTCCGACTGACCGTGTGCCGCACGCTGCTGACTCTTCCCTCGCGCAGATGAAGCTTTTGCGTGCACGTCAAGAATCTGCGCCAACTCCACTGTGAGTTCACGGCAGCGCAGGCACTGCAGCTCCTCAAACTCATGCAAGGACACGCTGACTTGTGCCTCATTCCGCAGGTGCCAGTGCGAGCGAAGCAGGGAACCAAGTATCTTCTCCCGAAAAGGTTTCCCACCAAAGACGCTCTGAATCATTTCCTCCGGGGTACGTGACATAAAACGTCCCATTTTGCTTTCGTGTAAAAGCAGTGCTTGCGCCCCACCGAGGTCAAAGGACTTGCGCTTCTCAGGGTTTGATAAAACCTGATACGCCTGTGAGATGTCTTCAAACTTCCGCTGCGCCTCCCATCGCTCCTGCTCACTCAACGGCTCATCATGACGGCTTTGCACCACATCTGGGTGAAATACTTTCGCCAGGTTCTTGTACTGCGTCTTGATCTGTGCCTGTGTGGCGGAACGTTTCACTTGGAGGACCTCGTAGGGGTCCTCCTCTTTCAGCGCATACTCCTCCCCCTCCATCCCTGCCGCGGAGGCCGAACGCCGCCCACCCCCCATTCGCCCCATCATCGTTTGGTTTAGCTTGTCAAACGAGAATCCCATGGAGGCAAGGCGCTGCTGCCACCTTTCCTCCGGCCGCATGTTCTTCCGGCGAAACTCCAGACGACCCACGCCCCGGATGGCGCGCTGCTCCAGCTGAATGTTGTGACGCAGCCACGCGGAGTCCAGGGCGGTGCAGTACTGCCATCGTCCGGCACTCACCTCAAAGAAAAGCGTCCCCGCCACGGCATTCCACGCCCCGTAAACACTATTGCATAACCCAGATGGGAGATGAATACACGGCGAGACGACAAGCCCGTATGCAAGGAACTGCGTGGCACAAAGCATACCCAAGGTGACCCCTTTGACAGTCCCAACGCAGACGCCGTGGTCACGCGCCCCGCGCATCGCCCCAAAGACGACACACCCCACAGCATTCTGCACTGCAACCACCATATTCCACACCATCGCAAAGAGAGAAAGCCAAATGTGCCGCTTCGGTGTTAAGTTCATCCGGCTGTAAAAGTTCAGCGCGTGAAGCTGCTTCATCCGGCGAATGTAGTCCAAGTCTTCTGTTAGTGTCACAAGTTGATCTGATCGCCCCAGCTGCTGCTGAGCGCGACCGCAAAGAGAATAGACAAGCGAGCGCACCCCCTTAACTGCCTGAATGATCGCTGAAGAGGAACCCAATGGCTTTACCCATCCAGTGGGACAGCCACCATGAGTGCTACCTGCATGATACCGACGCATCACCGCGAGAATGTTTGCAGGACGTCCTGTTAGCGTCGCTGCACGTGTGTCCACAACAAGCTGCGGCTTCTCAAAGAGGACATACGACAGACGGCGCAGTTCCGCATCCAACGCATCTGCCTTTGCGGCGAGTCGGTGAGCAAAGGGGAGAAGTTCAGCCTCCTCGCGTGCGGCGTCCATAACGCAAAACTCCTCCTCCTCCAGCTCCCGCTGCTCTTCGTCGGTGAGTCTGCCACCATCTTTGAACTGCAGGCGCGCCACTGCTGTAGTCGCATAAAGAGCGACACGCGTACCAAAGATAACGCGTGGAAGCCGTCGCATCTCCTCCACCTCCTTGTTTTTCTGGGGAGACGGCGGAAAAAGGGTTGGGGCACAACAACCACCGCAGCGAGTATAAATGTCTAAGTGTCCCTCCGTTTCCTCCGCATGCCGAGTGGGCGCAGGTTGAAGAAAGAGGCGAAGGAAGGCACATACAACGCCCGCGCACGTTTTGTCACGCATGGCACACACAGAGAGGCAGGTGCATGGAGGGACGCACGTGGGCTCAGTGAGAAACAAAGAAAACAACTGCTGCCTGCATACATTAATCTCTCTCTCTCTCTCTCTCTCTCTTTCACTGTTTGTTTTTTTTGTTCGTGCAATCGTGCAAAAGTTACGCGACAACCGCCAAAGGCGCAGCAGACGACACACACACAAAAACAAACAAACAATACCAGCAAAAAGCGAAGTAGAAGCAAAAAAAGAAAAAAAAAGAAAAAAACGGGAAAAAACGAAAAGAAAAGAAAAGAAAAAACGGAAACCAAACAATAATAATAATAATAACAACAAGACATATAAAATTATAATCCAAAATAAAAGCCCGAAATGCGTGCGTGCGTGCACAGGTCACAAGAAAGGCTTGTGGTCAAGTGACAAACACGGCACATCCGTCGACGCCTCCCTCCACCCCCACCCCAACAACACGACCAGGCGCACTGGATATGCACCCTTTTTTTTTGTTTTCTCGCTCTAAAAACACACACACAAATTGGTCCCATACCTTTCACACAAACCTACTTTTGTAATATACATATATAAGTATAACATATCTATGTATTACCCGCATACATTTATATACTCACTTCGCCAAGCACCGCACACACGCACATGGCCTTTCACCCCGCACGGCATGCACTCCCTGCGAGTAATATACGGAAAGATACAACAACAGCGACAACAGAAGCAACGCAAGCGGTAACGAGCACACACGAGGAGAGATAAAAAACAAAAACAAAACGGGGTGCGCCGTTCGAAGGCTATAACTATCCTCTCCCCAACTTGACTCATTGCCGTGCCGTTTTTGCCTCCACACTACATAGTTGTTTTTTTTTCTTCTGCTTTGTTTTCGTTTGCAGGAATAGGAGGGGAAAAACGGATCTCACTCCTCACTGCGTTTAAGTAGCCCCAACTTCGGCATCCTACAAAACTAGCAGGCACAGCTGGACTTTTCCACACGCCTCGCTCGGTTAGAATGGAGTACTTTTCCACTAGCGCCCTTGTCATTCACTGCCTCAATGTCCACCGCACCGCCGCCTAAGGCGTCCACCGAGTTCAGGACACAATCCACCAGCTTGTGGAAGGCGGCATCCACGTTTTTGTTTTCCTTCGCGCTGGTGACAAACCACGCCTCAAAACCGTGGCTGCGGCAAAACTCGTCCATCTCCTCCTTCGTCTTCTGAATCCCGCCTTCGCTGGCAAAGGCACGGTGGCTGCCACTATCACCTGCCGCCGCGGCTGCCAGAACCCCGTTGGGAAGCAGATCCAGCTTGTTGATCAGTAGGATACAGGGGATGGGTTTTCCGGACGCCCTGAGAGATACCTTGCTGTCTAAGTCCAGCTTCCACTTCACCGCCAGATCAAGTGTCTCCGGCCGAGTGATGTCAGCAACGACAACGGCTCCAGCCGCTGCCTGGTAATACACTCGTGTCATCTGGCCGTAACGTTCTTGCCCCGCAATGTCCCAAAGTTGCAGAGTGATGTTGCGGTTGGATGCAGCATGCACGATGTCCTTCAGAGCAAAATCCACTCCAATGGTGGCCTTGTTGGTGGCCAGAAAGATGCTGTGTACATAACGACGAATCAGACAAGTTTTTCCAGTGCCACTTTCACCGACAACAAGCACCTTAAACAAAAGCTCACTGTTTCTGACGTATGCCATTACTTGTAGCACTACTTGATAGTTTGGTTAATCTATTTGTCCCCCTCGCTCTCGCTCCTTTACTGCTGCGTCGGTGATTTCTTGCCTCTACGACCTCGTCTCAATTGCCTGCCCTGCGGTGTTATTATTATTATTATTATTATATATACTTTTTTGTGCTGCTTCCTGAGTTCCGGCTGAGAACGTAATAAGAACCCGATTTGTAAGCGCCCACCTCCGCGGCCGACGCACCACGCCAAAGCCAGCACGCACAACAGACGGAAGGGCGGAAGAGAAAAAATAGCAACAGACACACCAACATGTACCAAAAGAAGCCCATGAGAAAAAAAAAATGAGAGGAAAACAACAACAACAAGAAAAAAAACACACCGTCAGTGCGTAAATACATTTTCCATTCAACACAGTCCGTTCTCTGTCGCTTCGTCTCCTGCTTTTACAGAACAAATGCAAATATTTTCTCTCCCCAGTGGACGCCTGGCAAAAAGAACGACCCGGCACGCACCTAATGACTGACCAGACACCGCATCCGTCGGGCATTCCCCACTGCACCATCAGAGGCACAAGTACGCACGTTCCCGCAGACGCATCCCCGCCGCCCATGGACGACTCTCTTGAGCCCCTCAATGCTTCCTGCAGACCAACTCTCTCGGCCGGCCTCCTTCTGGCTCCTTCGTGCCCTTCCCCCAACACCGCTACGCAGAAGCATCTGAATGCCTGCGCCGCGTGGACCATCGCAAAAAGACCCAATTCACGACTTTGCCTCGGCCCTAGCCGTGCAACGCGCTCACCACCCGTCACAGGGGACGCGCCAACCGTGTAATCGCTCGGATGTGCACCAGTCAAAGGCCAAACGCGTCATGTGAAGACACCGTTGGGCCAGTTCAGTTGCACAGCCGCCTTAAAAGCCCTTCAGCAGTGACGGCTGCCACCCGCTCCACTCCAGAAAGTGTGGGGAGTGTCGTGGGCGGCGCGCGACGC